CCTTGTGACCTGTTCCGCCCCCCCCCCCCCAAAACGGCCGCTGTGGTTCCTCCCGCTGTACCAAGTAGTGGGGAGAAAGGGTTTTACACACCCAGAAGTGTAGAATTCTTGCAGCAGCTGTAGGGTGGAGATGCTGCCGGAAAGGTGAGTACATCAATGCGTCTTTTACAGGTGACCTATTGTGTAACAGAGACCATGTGGTCGCTTTGAGGGGCCATTCAATGCACACATGTTAATGCATGCATTGGTGTGCGTTGCATTAAGGAAACCCAGTCATTATGAAAAGGCTGCCAATGGTCCACAATGGATGAAAAACGTGCACAGCCCATTGATAACAACACAACGCACAGCATATGGATTGTGGTGCACTGCAGTGTGTTGTGCTTTGGGTTCTACTGTACAATGTGCTGCGGTTCCATTCACAGAATGTCACCAAACATAGAGCAGGCGTGTTGCCATTCCTTACGGGGAACAAATCTGACTGTGCTGCTGCTGCTGGACGCAGCTGTGTGTATTGCCGCCAACCGGCCCAAGAGATCAGCTACATTCATGAATGCGTCACTCTGTTGCTCTAGAGCAGAAAACCGCAGCTCAGCGGACATGGTGTGAACAGCCCTGGAGCCTGCTAGCAGCTTGTTTAAAGTGACAGTCAGCGCATTCACACTTAAAGGGAAATTCCACCTGTTATAAATAGAATAATGAATGCATACTTCTTCATTATATTCTTCATGTGCGTTTAGTACTTTTTTTGCATTAGAGCCAGTAAAGCATTGCATTCGCCATGAGCTGATCATGGATGCAATGCTCTGCCTCCTGCAGATTCTTCCTCCGAGCCTTTGTCCATACCAAGGTACAGACATTCAGGGACGGGAGGGAGTGTGAGTGGACTACAAGTACAGTGACAGCAAGACACTTGTATTCCATTGAGAACTACTACAACTACCATGGTGGCTGATTGGACTTGTAGTTCCTCCAGTCACAGAGCCTCTCAAAGAATCTGCGATTGGATAATTTGGCTGTGTGGGCGTAGCCTTGCACAGCCACGCCAGATTTAAGAAAACCAGCAGCCTTCAGGAAGAAGAACGCTACGATTCAATACAAATCCCATCATACATCTGGGAGTCATGCCTGTGGCTGTTACAGTCTTGCAATGCCACATGGGACTTTAGTTCCACAAAAGCTGGAGTGCTGAGGTTGACCCCCCCGCCCCCAATCCCCATCCCCGACTTAGCCTTTCAGTGCTCCGTTGATGTGTTTTAATGCTCGCGCTAACATGCATTGCATGAAAACAGTCCATTGATTATGAATGAGCTGCCAATGCACCATAACAGATGAAAAAACATGCATGACCCTTTTATAGCAACGCAGTGCACCACAACACACATCACATTGTGTATTGGGCTCTACTATACAATACATTGGGTTGCCATTCACAATGAATGGCAGCACAACGCACCGTTCATAGAGCAGGTTCATTGCCATGTGTTGTGGCAGTGTGCATTACTGCTTATGTTTTAGGACCAATTTGCTTTGGTGTACGTTGACGCACTTCATGTCACATGATTCAAAATCAGTGCTTCCAAGTTCAACACCCCCTGACGTTCTTAAAGTCACACATGACCCTTTCTAGTAACGCAACGTGGCAGCTGTGCATTGCGGTGTGCTACAACGCAGATGCATTGCCTTGCACCATTGAAAATTAATTTCACTGCAATGCATGTGATGTGCATTACCGTGTGTTGCAGTAACATGCACAGCAATGCATGTGTTACCGCAAAGCAGAAGTGTGAATCCGAGTTCCCACTTAAATCAATGATCGTGTTTGGCAGGTGGCCTAGGAACTGTAAAAATGCAGATCAACCCGTTTCTACTGCCCCTGGGTGGCACATGTGAATGAGGCCTAAGAAGCATTGAGGACCTGGCTCCTGGAATCTCTCCAGCTCTGTCCTGATGGGACACAAATAGCAATCCCCTCCCCCCCACCTCATAGGGACTGTCCACACCACAGCACTCAGGTTGGCGTGTATTGTAACGCACGCTGGACCACAATACTTTTCCGTGCATTGCATTGTTTTTTTATTATAATTTTCTCCCAAGTACGGATGTGATTGTTATGCAGCTCGTTGTGATGTGTGAGGCTCCATTCACATATAGCGTTTGCATTTCCCGCGTGGTTTTCCGTGTGGACGCAAACGCTATATGTAATACAACTGCACGGATTCCGCTCGTTTGCAGCCATTATATAGCCGCGAACGCCGGATTATCACACTTAGACTCCATTCGCACCTGAGCGCAAATTCAGCTTTACGGATACACACGGAGCCACTCTACACAAGGAATTCAATACACTTCAATGTGCGTCATTCAGACCAATGCGAAATAGTCCAAGCGCGATAATCCGCCGGATTCTGCACTTTCGCGGCTATTTCATATTTCGTCCCACGCGGTCTTCCGCATGGAAAACAGCGCGGGAACCGCAAATGTGTGAATGCAGCCTTACACTATTTTGGGTCTCCGCAATAGTCTGAACAATGCACATTGATTTTTCTGTTTGGAGCGGCTGCGCGCGTATTCGTACAGCCGAATTTGCGCGGACAGCCGCCCCAGTGTGAATGGAGTCTTACAGTGTATTGGAAAGCGCTGCACACAAATGCGTCTTTTTAAGTGCATAACAACACAGCACATTGCGGCAAACTGATGCTGTCGTCATAATGATTAATGATGAATCACTACGAGTAACAATTGGTCGTCAAACAGATGAAACACATGGATCCCTATGGAGTAAAGGTGGCCGTACACTTCACAACCCTCGCAAGACCTTAGGGGTGGGCTTCCGATGGGCTTCCGATGACCGCAATGCTGAACGGGCAGTGTGCGCGTGTGCACACCGGCCCGTTCGGCATTTCTCTTCCGAGCATCATTCAAACCAGCCGAAAATCGTAAGATTTTCGGCTGGTTTTCTAGCGTGCTCCTTAGACAAAAGACGTGCGACCGTACAGTAGAAACGGTCGCACGTCTTCATTCACACTGCACGATTCTCGTACGATCGCGGGATTTCGTGCAGTGTATGGGCACCTTAAGATACACAAGCCGCATCTGGTATCAATCAATCAATCGTCACACATGATGTTTAGCATTTTATTGATAATTCTTAGAGGTTATTTGTTGGTGATTTCAGTAGCAGAACTGAGATACTAAATATCTTCTGTGGATCTCTCTCTTCTAACAAGGTGATTGCAGGAATTGGTTACATTGTTCAGTATCTTTCTTGTTCCAAACCCATGGATGTCTGATGCTGCCATCACCCTGTGACTCTTCTGGGGCTGATTGAACATGACTGTGGAGATGAGGGATTTTGCATAATTGACCGCAGATGAGTACAAGAACACAAGTGCAATGCAAATGAATCAGGGAAAAGTCAATGATAATTGCAGGTAAGAATGGGTAGCTGTACATGTGATTAGACCCAGAGCTACAGGATGGTACACATGAAAATCACCACTAAAATCTATCAGGTGATGTGACGCACACAAACATGGATGCCTGAGTCTTAATAACGGCTGCCGGTGTTGTGATGTCAGCTGCAATGGTAAAAGTACAGCTTGTGGGAAAATTCCGGGTGCTGCCAGAACCCTGTACAGTGTATGCAGGATATCATACTATAGTCCAGGGGTAGGTGACCGCGGCACTCCAACTACAAATCCCATAAAAACAAATTGCAGGTGTTCTTCTGAGTGGGGTATACAAATGTTCTGCCAAAGTATCTCAGCTTGCCATTTTTAGGGCCCCTTCACACCGTTTGATGCGTGTTTATGCTCTCATTACTGCGGCCGGACCCAAACAAAAATTAACCTGCGCTCTTTTTTTTGGCCATAATAATGCATTCAGGGCTGCCACCTGTCCAAGGTTCATCTGGACAGTCTGGGTTTTGTGTCCTGTATGTGCTGTTTCCAGCTGAAACCCAGTCACAGCACATACAGGACTCAAAACCCGGACTGTTCAGGTGAATCCTGGACAGGTGGCAACCCTAAGGGCCAGTTCACACAACAAAGTCCGCATTCCAGAGTGGTCAGCCTCTGGAACGCAAGCCGGCTGCAGCACTGAGGGTCCCTGGTTCGAATTCCAGCCAGGTCACTATCTGCAAGGAGTTTATGTTCTCCCTGTGCTTGCGTGGGTTTCCTCCGAGTACTCCGGTTTCCTCCCACACTTCAAAGACATGCTGGAAGGAATGGAATCTCTAAATTGGCTCCTGTATGTATGTATGTGAGATAGAGACCTTAGATTGTAAGCTCCTTGAGGGCAGGGACTGATGTGCATGTGCAACTATGTAAAGTGCTGCGTAAATTATCGGCGCTTTATAAATATCTGTAATAAATACCTGCAAGCATCACACATACACTTTATTTTGCTATCATGCCTGCATTTAAAGCCTGTCAGTGTAATTAAAATTTGAAAAAATCCTCATCCTTTACAAAAAATATAACCCAGCCGTGTCTGCAATACTCTCTTCCATGCTATCCCCTGCAGTAATTATTCTCACCTCTACATGGCGCTCATTCAATCCCTTTCCTCTGTACCCAGGGAGTCAAAAGCCTGCCCCCAAGGGGCATATCATCAGGCTGCCCTGGAATGTGAATGCTGCAGTGACGGACTGAAGAGTGCTGGAGAAAAGGGTGTGTGTGTGTGTGTGGTTTTTGCACAGTAGCCCAGTGTGCCCATTGTTTATACATATAAGGTTCTTTCCATTTCTGCTGACAACTTGTCTCCTTCCAAGTCTTCTGGCTGCACAATGATTGCACAAGCACAGGTCTGAGAAAACATTCTCCGCCCACTCAGTACTGCCCGGTCTGTGGATGTAAATGTTGCTGTGTATAGAGATAGGTGTGTGTCAGTGACCAAAAGAGACCAGACTAAAATTTTCCATGGTAAGCGGCTGCAGCCAATCAGCTGCTATTGTGACAGCGGTGGGCGCCATATGTCAGAATGCGAGGTGGAGAAATCAGATTTTTGGGTTCAGCCCACAGGCACAGAATATGCAGCATTTTCAAATGTCATCTTCAATACTACATGATGGCCACTAGATGGAGCTGATGAGCATAAGAAATACCTATTTTCTATGCTCCTCAGCTCCATCTAGTGGCCATAATGTAGTGTTACAAGGTGACTGCATGCACATGCAGCCTGCCTAGGAGCATCCACTCCTCATGACTTTATTAGTCTGAATATGTTGTTTTTAAATGAGATTTTGACTTTTAAATATGGCGTTTTCTCCCGCCATTCTGACATCACCAGGGGTGTGGTTATTAATGATTTACTAATTTCATGGGGTATATATGTGGTGTGGGAATACTATTACATTGTCACATCTTTCTGCCCTGAAGAAGGGACCCTGCGTGGCCCCGAAACATCAGCTTTGTTGATTTTTGTGACACAATTGTCCATTAAAAAGGACATACCTATTTAAATTATCTGAGTGCTGGTGACCTGTCGTTTTATTTCGTACTTTGCACGGTGCCATCCGTGGTCGTTACTGCAAGCACCATCGTTCTTACTGGCCGGGATTGCTGTAAGGTGTGCGGAGAGCACCCTCACTAACTGACATCCACCTATCAAGGCACTTTAATATTTGCATACCTTCTCCCAAGTTCTCCCTTCTCCCACAGTAGGGTGCTGTGATGTTTTCAGGAAGCTATGTACAGCACCCTGCCAGCCCCTCCCACCAGTCATGATCAGTCTGCATTGCATGGAGAAGCACAGAGACCCCCATATAGCTGAGGGTATTGCAGCATCAGACCCAGAGCCGTAGCTAGATCCGTTTGCACCCGAGGCAAGAACAGAATATTGTGCCCCCCAACAGACCTGTGCGGCATGTGACATCATGCACCCCGCTTCCAGGAGGGCGGAGCGCATGCGCAGAATGGGCTGGTGACCAAATCCAAAATAGCATACAAATCTGTTTCGTTTGACGAAACTAATGAAAACATTTTTAGTTTCCGTTCATTTCGTCCTTAACAAATTTTTTGTTTTTGCACGTGTGTGTGTGTACAGACTTCGGGGAAATATTAGGGGTCCCTGACTTTTCCCTTTTGAAATAGAAAAAGAGATTGAGTCCTCTGCCCATACAGGTGGGGGAGAGCAGCAGGGATCCAAGGAGAAGCTGGAGCCTGTGCTGTTCCCCTTCTCCCTGCCGAGCCACGGCTGTGTTGGCCTCGCAGCGCCCTTGTTGCCAATGGCACCCTGTGCTTCCTATGGCAATAGGGGCGAGGGGGCACAGCCAGGCCGGCCCTGACTGCACCCCCTCTCAGCTGCGCCTGAGGCGAGTGCCTTACCCGCCCCATGGTAGCTACAGCCCTGATCAGACCTATCAGTGACCTTGCGAATGATGAGAAACCTGCCAACCTTCAACCGACTCGCCTGACGCTCTGTGAGCCTTTTCCCAATTCTGGCGATGGGTTCTCAGCGCCTGTTCAGGAAACGCTCCGTCCCCCCCTTTCCTCTATAGAAAAGGGAGCGATCAGCTATCGGCTATAAAGCGTTCATTGTACGATGTGGAAAAATCTCTACTCACTAACGATCTCTTCCGATAATTAGAATCGGTCCTGGGCTGAGGTTGGTGGAGGTGGAAGCGTGGCCCCTGCGTGCCGCCATTGGGCTGTGTGTGGGCATCCTATTGCACAGTAGCAGACAGCAGCAGTAGAGACCATCCTCTGTAAGGTACGTTTCCTGTTCTTCTGTCTCTTCCTTTTATAGAGATATTTCACACAAGCTGCAGCAGCTCGGCAGACCTGAAGCCGTGACGCTCTCATTGACCAACCCGGAAGCGTCTGTTGCAGAAATCTAGTGAGAGGGAGAGACAGCTGCTGCCTGACAGCCTGCACCCCCCTGACAGCTGCACCCCGGGGTCCTGAATCCAGGTACTGCTCCCTATCCCCTGCCCCTCTGTGCTGAGCACTGCCTGTGCTGTGTGTGTGTCATTACCTCTGTCACATGATGGAGGATCTGTGCTGGCACACAAATCTTCTCCTCTGTATGTATGGGATTGCATGGATGGGCATATCCCGCTGCATGTGTATGTCACGCTACATGTGTGTGTGTATGGATGGGCATAACCTGCTACATGCGTGTGTCACGCTGCATATGTGTATGGATGGGCATAGCTTGTTGCATGTATATGTCATACTACATGTGTGTGTGTGTATGAATGGGCGTAGCCTGCTGCAGGTGTATGGCAAGCTACATATATGTGTATGGATGGGTATAGCCAGCTGCATGTTTATGTCATACTACATATGTGTGTGTGTGTGTGTATGAATGGGCGTAGACAGCTGCAGGTGTATGACACGTTACATATCTGTGTGTGTGTATGGACGGGCATAGCCTGCTGCATGTGTGTGTCATGCTACATGTGTGTCTATGGATGAGCATAGCCTGCTACATGTATATGAAACACTACATATGTGTGTGTATGGATGGGCATAGTCTGCTTTATGTTTATGTCGCGCTACATATACATGTGTATAGTATGCTGCATGTGTATGTTATGCTACATACGAGTGTGTATATGGATGGGCATAGCCTGCTGCATGTGCCTGTCATGTTCTGTGTGTGTGTGTGTGTGTGTGTGTGTGTGTGTGTGTACGGGCACAGCCTGAAGCATGTGCATGCCATACTATACATGTGCAATTGCCTGCACCTTATTTTCTGCGTGTGTGTAAATATGTGCATTATATTCTCTGACACACTGCATTTGTCTCAACACACACACACAAGCACACTCCATACACATACATGTACATGTCAGTGAATGTATACATATTGGGATCCTATAGGCGCACGTGTGCACGTCTCTGCATATGTGTTTCCATTCTTACACAAATGTCATTGTATTGTTTCTACAGAAGCATATACATATTATGTATGTATATCACAGTGATGTGGCCATGGCTGTATGAGTTTATGTGCATTTACAATTCATAGTGTATATATGTGTGTGTATATAGGTGATAGTGCGTGTGTGTGTGTGGGTGACAGTATTTGTGAGCATGCACAGATCTTACTATGTTGTTTATCATGGATGTATACCCGTGTGATCTCTGTAGTATTTATGTGGGTTGTGTTGTGCGGATCTATACGTTGCACAGTAGGAGCACACGGAGCTCTCACTGCGTCCAGCTAGGTGTCATTGTGAAGCTCGCTCTGCCTGTTGCTGGGTTGAATCTTGCAATTCTTTTACATTTGTGGCAGACGGGCGGATGGCTGCTGAGGTGGAGAATGGGAGGTGTGATCGCAGAATACACTCAGAATACACACAGGGTTTGTCAGCCATGGCGGAGAGCGCCGTCTACTATCATCAGATTTAAAGGTTCCTCTAGAATGTGCTGGGGACTTATTGTTATCAGGATGGCGCTGTGAATGCTGCACCTTGCCTGCTATGTGGAGCACAATTCCTAACATGCAGCTTGTGGTGTGTCACAATGTACTATCGCTGACTTGTTGTTGTTTTTTTAAGGTACAAGCTCCTGGGTTGTCATTCTCAGTCTATGGACTGAGATACAAGCAGGTGACCAAACACCTCACTGGCTACATGCTTGCTCAGGGCCACCGATTTACCAATGATTGCTCTGGAGCTGTAACCTAAGAAGCCAAGTCAGCAATATCAGCTCCCTTCTTTGTTCCCTTTAAAGAGAAAAATGTATTTACCTATAATGTGTACTTGCCAAAAAGACAATCCTTGTGAGCCAAAGTCCTGATCCTCAGCCTTCTATTGGTTGATAAACATTGTGGGCAATCAGTGAATGCTTTTTTAGTAGCCAATGCTCTCATCTGCATAGGGAGCCTCCTGATGAGGGTACAGATCCCCCTGGTGAGGGTACAGATCCCCCTGGTGAGGGTACAGATCCTCCTGGTGAGGGTTCGTCCTGGTGAGGGTACAGATCCCGCTGGTGAGGGTACAGATCCCCCTGGTGAGGGTACAGATCCTCCTGGTGAGGGTTCGTCCTGGTGAGGGTACAGATCCCCCTGGTGAGGGTACAGATCCCCCTGGTGAGGGTACAGATCCTCCTGGTGAGGGTTCGTCCTGGTGAGGGTACAGATCCATGTGTGTGTGTGTATGAATGGGCGTAGCCTGCTGCAGGTGTATGGCAAGCTACATATATGTGTATGGATGGGTATAGCCAGCTGCATGTTTATGTCATACTACATATGTGTGTGTGTGTGTGTATGAATGGGCGTAGACAGCTGCAGGTGTATGACACGTTACATATCTGTGTGTGTGTATGGACGGGCATAGCCTGCTGCATGTGTGTGTCATGCTACATGTGTGTCTATGGATGAGCATAGCCTGCTACATGTATATGAAACACTACATATGTGTGTGTATGGATGGGCATAGTCTGCTTTATGTTTATGTCGCGCTACATATACATGTGTATAGTATGCTGCATGTGTATGTGATTCTACATACGAGTGTGTATATGGATGGGCGTAGCCTGCTGCGTGTGCCTGTTATTTTGTGTGTGTGTGTGTGTGTGTGTGTGTGTGTGTGTACGGGCACAGCCTGAAGCATGTGCATGCCATACTATACATGTGCAATTGCCTGCACCTTATTTTCTGCGTGTGTGTAAATATGTGCATTATATTCTCTGACACACTGCATTTGTCTCAACACACACACACAAGCACACTCCATACACATACATGTACATGTCAGTGAATGTATACATATTGGGATCCTATAGGCGCACGTGTGCACGTCTCTGCATATGTGTTTCCATTCTTACACAAATGTCATTGTATTGTTTCTACAGAAGCATATACATATTATGTATGTATATCACAGTGATGTGGCCATGGCTGTATGAGTTTATGTGCATTTACAATTCATAGTGTATATATATGTGTGTGTATATAGGTGATAGTGTATATATGTGTGTGTATATAGGTGATAGTGCGTGTGTGTGTGTGGGTGACAGTATTTGTGAGCATGCACAGATCTTACTATGTTGTTTATCATGGATGTATACCCGTGTGATCTCTGTAGTATTTATGTGGGTTGTGTTGTGCGGATCTATACGTTGCACAGTAGGAGCACACGGAGCTCTCACTGCATCCAGCTCGGTGTCATTGTGAAGCTCGCTCTGCCTGTTGCTGGGTTGAATCTTGCAATTCTTTTACATTTGTGGCAGACGGGCGGATGGCTGCTGAGGTGGAGAATGGGAGGTGTGATCGCAGAATACACTCAGAATACACACAGGGTTTGTCAGCCATGGCGGAGAGCGCCGTCTACTATCATCAGATTTAAAGGTTCCTCTAGAATGTGCTGGGGACTTATTGTTATCAGGATGGCGCTGTGAATGCTGCACCTTGCCTGCTATGTGGAGCACAATTCCTAACATGCAGCTTGTGGTGTGTCACAATGTACTATCGCTGACTTGTTGTTGTTTTTTTAAGGTACAAGCTCCTGGGTTGTCATTCTCAGTCTATGGACTGAGATACAAGCAGGTGACCAAACACCTCACTGGCTACATGCTTGCTCAGGGCCACCGATTTACCAATGATTGCTCTGGAGCTGTAACCTAAGAAGCCAAGTCAGCAATATCAGCTCCCTTCTTTGTTCCCTTTAAAGAGAAAAATGTATTTACCTATAATGTGTACTTGCCAAAAAGACAATCCTTGTGAGCCAAAGTCCTGATCCTCAGCCTTCTATTGGTTGATAAACATTGTGGGCAATCAGTGAATGCTTTTTTAGTAGCCAATGCTCTCATCTGCATAGGGAGCCTCCTGATGAGGGTACAGATCCCCCTGGTGAGGGTACAGATCCCCCTGGTGAGGGTACAGATCCTCCTGGTGAGGGTTCGTCCTGGTGAGGGTACAGATCCCGCTGGTGAGGGTACAGATCCCCCTGGTGAGGGTACAGATCCTCCTGGTGAGGGTTGGTCCTGGTGAGGGTACAGATCCTCCTGGTGAGGGTTCGTCCTGGTGAGGGTACAGATCCTCCTGGTGATGGTTCCTCCTGGTGAGGGTACAGGGCCTCCTTTTGAGGGTACAGATCCTGCTGGGGAGGGTTCAGATCCTGCTGGGGAGGGTACAGATCCTCCTGGTGATGGTTGCTCCTGGTGAGGGTACAGATCCTCCTGGTGATGGTTCCTCCTGGTGAGGGTACAGGACCTCCTTTTGAGGGTACAGATCCCCCTGGTGAGGGTACAGGACCTCCTGGTGAGGGTACAGATCCTCCTGGTGAGTGTACAGATCCTTATCTCTGGTGAACCATGGTTGTCACCGAAAGAAGGCATTTGGCAGACATTTTGTTCTGGTGTCACCCTTCTACCAGAACTGAACTAATGACAGACCAAAGAATGGAAGCACACATAGAGAAGTCTGACCTGATACAGCAAGGAACCCTAGGTGGGGCAGAGGTGGGCACATCTGGGGTTGTGTCCGGGGCGCTGCACAGTTCCTGGACGGCTCCGCTTCTCCGTGGGGATGATGGTAGTGCAGTGACCAGGACATGCTGGAGCCCCGGCGGAGGAGATGGTGAGAAGCCAGCTTGGGGGGCGACGAACCGGGTGACACCCCGCTGTGACGTCATCGCATGGGCGGCCATCTTGGTGATACCTGCCGGAGGCCATCTTGGTGATGGACGCTGGCAGGGAGAGGACAGGATGTTCACCCGGCGGGATAAGGTATGCTGCTGGTTCCCCTCCTCTCTTGTGCAACTGTCAGAGTCTTGGTCCATGACAGAGCGCCCGACTTTTCAGAGGGGGTGACACCAAAATGACTGCCAGTCATTTTGGTGTCACCCGATGCGGGCCGCCCCCCATTAGTGATGCCACTGCTGCACAGGACAAAGAGGCTGAATCCCCCTGTTGACAACAAGAAGAACCTAAGAGAGGTTCTAACCCTTCCCAACTCCATC